TGGACTTGGTCTTCATCTTGTTCCTCTTCAGATTCAATATTCAGAGGGTCATTATAGGTATGTGTAGTTTGTACAATTGTTTGATCACCATTATAGAACAGCCCCAGAGTTTTATTGGCAAAGTTCCATTGTGCTTGAGTCTTTTCGAAGAAGTTAGTTCCTAATAATAAAGTTTTTTCTGAAGACTCAATAACTTGTAGCTTCATGGGGACTAATAAATTTTATATGCCTATAGGAACATAGTCAATTTGTTCTAAGGTACGTTGCCTAGCTCCATTGGCAGTGATAACTACAACCTTTGATGGACCATTAATAGTAAGTTCTAATTTCTTTCGTAACTTGTTAGTAATGATACTAACAGCAGCACCAGAATCAAGTACAGCAACTACTGGGTTCCTCCCAATTCGTACGTAACATTTAGCTGCAGTAGTTCACTTAACTTCATCAGTTTCCACGTGATTGGTCTCCTTTTGTTGTGTAGGTCATTTGAGAATCTTTGTTAAGTTCCTTTTTTGGTCAGGGTATTTCAACAATTGTCCTATTTTAGTACTAGACTGCATATGGAGGATGTCCTGCGAAATATCGTATGGAGTCAATTGATCGACAACTGACGGTTGTTGTTTCATTCTAGGCTTCTTTTCACTTTTTGTTTTTAATGTTATTTTTGATAAGTCTTCCTGCATAGGTTCATCTTCATAAGGATCTTGTTCAAAATCAACTAAGATCCCAGACTGTTGATTATTGATAACGGGTATAGCTTTTTGGGGTACATGATTCTTTGGTCTTCTTGATTTACGTAAAGGGGTAGTTCGGTTATTAGGTTTGTTTCATATAGCTTCATAGACTTCGCATTCATCGTCACTGTCATTGTCATATTCAACATAGCTGACATTTCGTTTATTTTAATTTTGGAGATATGTTTTCTTTTCAACTAGACAGTCACGAGTAAAATGTCCAACCTCGTTGCAATTATAACATCTGCGTGGACCACTGTTGTTATTGTAATTATCATTGTTATTGTTATTATTGTCATTGTTGAAATTATTATTTCTGAAATATTTACGGGAATTATTAGTTCGTCTCTGATTCTGATATCCAATTTTTTTGGTTAACCCTTCGACTTGTTGCATTAAGTTGATCTGCAACTTATTAAACCGTTTAGTTAATTCACCCATTTCGTCACTGCTAGAGGATTTCTTTTTCTCCTTACTTTTCTTTTTCTTTTTAGATTTCTCCTCTTCACTTGAGCTAGCAGAACTTTCGTCGCTGGAACTTTCATATTGTCAGTACTTTTTTCGGAACTTTTTCGTTTCCATTTTTCCAGACTCATATAGTTTAGCTTTTGTTAAAGCTTCAGCCAGGTCAACAGGAGCATGTGTCTTAACTACGGCCTTAATCTCAGGTAATAATCCTCGAACGAAGTAAGGAAGAGTGGCAGCAGGATTTAGTTCAGCTCGAGTAGCCATTCGCCTGACTTGGTAATAGTAGTCTTCAACAGTCTCACTTCTGCGTTGTTTGAGACCTCGTAATTCCTCAGTCCATTGTTCGCGGAAATCGTTATTTAGATACTTGGCTGTAAAAGCAGCTGAAAGTTGATCCCAAGTATGTGCATTGCCGTCTGTCCATTCAAGATACCAATCTCGAGCTCCTTTTCGGAGATAAGCTCCAAAAGTTTCTTTCTTACGATTGGCGTTCCATCCGTTTGCTTGAGCGGCCATTAAGAAGTCTTCATACTATTCTTGTGGGTCTTCCTTGCTAGAACCAGAAAATTTCGTGGGTTTTACTACTGTAGCCATTATTTCTTGTAGTGGT